GGTGGACTGTGAGTGGACTGCGCAGTGTGGGTGCTGGGAAGGGCGCTGGGAGCGGTTCTAGAATCGGGGTCAGGATTGGAGATAAATATGGTATACGGTATACGGTAGGAGCAACTTTGCTGACCCATCGAGACAAAAGGGCATGAAGTGGTCTCTTCGACCGAAACGCCCGAAATCAAAACAGACAAAGACGGATACTTTTTGTCAAACTTGACGGCTCCATCGACCGTCTTGGTATCCCCGACAAGACAACAGCACCATCTCCCCGCCCTGAGGTGCCCGTCTGGAGCCTGCCCTCCCCCCAGCGCCGGATGCTCGGCAGGCCCGTCGCTCCTCAGAAGGTCAAGGGCCTGTTGGGCCCGTCCGGCCGAGCGGCAGCATATTGACTGAATGTCTGCGCTGAAATGTCGGCTCGGAAGCCCGTCTCGCGTGACCTGACCCCGTGCCGGTCGCGGCGGACCGGGCCAGGCCGGGCTGGGAGCGGCGCCGGCCGCGGCCGTGTCCCTAAAGTTGGAGGAGGCCGGCGGTCCGGCGGTGGCGCCGCGTGCCAACACGCACAGTCACCGATGGCGGAGCTCAGGCCTCAGCGGGGGGGGGGGGGCTGCACAGACTGCAGGAGGATGAGAGGTGGGGGTTGGAAGCCTGCGGAAGGCTGTTGCCTGTTTGCATGGGTGTGTGAGAAGGGAAACGTAACATTCAACATCGTAGCTAGTCGGGTGAAAACAGCCGAATAGCTGCAACCGTAGAACGTTTGGAACAATAACTTTGTGGCGAATATGGGAACGATGATGAACAATAAACATACACAGAGCAACAATGCACTTCAATGAGCTTCACTGAGAAATGGATAGCTACTCAGTCTTACAATGTAAGATCGCTGTAATGTCCATTATTGTCAATACAAAAGTTTCAGGTTCTCCGAAGCGCTATCTCCGTTGAGTGCCTAACAGAATATTCCGACGAATGTAACATCCTAGTAGGGTAGGGTGGGGTAATTTGAACATGTGGGGCAATTTGAACATGGTGTGAATAACACAAAATTACGGAAAATCCATAAGTGGCATGACAATAAGACCAATGAGAGAAATTATCGTAACTAAAAGGGCTATCATATGAACGGGGTTTAAAGTTTCAGGGAACGAAGATGTTGACGCACAATGTAAAAAATCAATTTCGCAAGGATAAACGCCTAACAACACGTCATTGCAACTTCATTGCAGCGCAAAATCTTGCATTGCTAGCGCCTAATACGCAACGGCTTTTGTTGTACAATGACCTAATCAGTGCCTTCAATCCACGAAATTTGCTTTTGAACCTTGTTTTTAAAAATGGCAAAATAACTTTTAGCGTGGGGTAATTTGAACATAGTGTGAGGATTTCAATGAAGACAGGGATAGCTCCGAAAAAAACAACGCTCCCAGTTTTTTTTTTGCCAATATTTTCGACCCAAAGCAATAGCAGATAAGTGATGCCAGTTTTAGAAAATTTACGTCTAATATCCGTCTATTGAACGGCATTTTCGTTGATTTTCCGTCCAAAAATGTTAAACTAAACTATTTGTCCAAATATGTCCGAAAATTATGCAGCTATCAACACTCAAAACCGTCATTTATATTGCTTATCATGTAATTTTACCAGCCGAAAAGTGTTCATTATATTGAGAGCTTAACCAGCTTTCCATTCGCCAATCAATGCTACGCACGATTACTTGATAAAAATGCTTAAGTGTGGCAGGCCATCGCCCAATGTTGTCCAGACTGCTATACCTTTGTGCAATCAATTCCGAATTGGACATTATAAAGAATGGGAACTCCGAATGTCCAGGTTCCGATTGGCACCACTATAACAGATGAAGTAAGGTTTGGTAGAGTTTTTATCGAACGGAGATGATAGACGTTCTGTCAATTGAAGAGAGGCGAATTCTGTCAACTGACCGGTGTGCAGCGTGCAGATATTGATACTCTGCAAGTGTTATTTTTGTTGTTGTGTTGATTTTTCAAATGAAGGTATGTTTAGAATTGCTCTGCCTATTCGTTTATGGGTCAAACAACATCGGTGCTGGCGAGACTATCGTTTTTATGGCAGGTAAAGGTAGTATGTTCAAATTACCCCACGGTGGGGCAATTTGAACACACCGTGACTTGGTGGAGAAGTGATGCTATGCTATTCAAGGTATGCTCGGCTCGACCAAAAATGAGGCTTGCATGGTAAAAGCAAGTGACACATGCGCTACTGAAACAGTTTTTCTTCATCCAGGGTTGAGCTGGAATTTGGTACAACGGAGAAGACGTAAAAATATGTTCAAATTACCCCACACTACCCTACTAGAAAAACTATCATACGACTCGCCCGAACGAGCCGATAACTCACAAATGCCGCATTTCATCCCGATGTTGGCCAAAAGCCAGGCGCGCAAACGCTAAATCAAGACCACTTTGAGGGCTGTGCTGTCGTTTTACTACCGCGGCGCTGCGGCTGCCGGCCGGCCCCGTGTTTACTGAATGCAGAGCGGAATCCCCGGGCGCGGCTCGGGTGCGGTTTCGTGCGGAAGCTGCAATCTGCCTGGCGGGGGGGGGGGGGGGCGACCGCGGCCGGTTCCTCTCTCTCTCTCCAAACAGATGGCTAAACTCTCAGCCACAAATCAGCTCACGGTCGGTCGGTGGTCGGCGGGAGTCTGGCCTGGGCGCACTCTGTGTCGACATTTAGGAGGGCACGCAGCGCCCGGCCGCCCGCCAAAGCCGCCCAGTCAGGCCAATAAGAAAAGATGTATGGACGCTAGGTAAGATATGGCTCGCAGGCCGAGAGACTGGACGACGCTCTGTGGCCATGATTCACGGCCCAGACCGGGCTCTTTTTGTGTCGACTGCGACACGCGTGCTTATGTCGGCGACAGTTCCGGCTGCCGCGTCAGCATAGAGACAGGCCAGGCGCTGTCTGACGAGCGGAAAGGTAGGAGTTGACCACATGTAAGGGACACTTCGGCAGTCGAAATCTTATACAATGTTATGTCGAAGTAGAGACAATAGGACGGTGGTAATAAATTATTGTTTATGATCATTAATGCAGTGCTATCTTTAAAAATGACACTAAGATGACTTTAATCATTTTAACCATGACAGCAATATATGAAGGACAGAACAAATAAAAGACTAAAGCCCATCACGTAGAGCAATAGCCATTTCCAATGGCTATTTTCCACCAAGGTAAGGTCCATAAATATATAATAAGCAAAAACCAATACGAGACCTGGGCAAATATTGTCGCTGTCCTTTTTGTGACAGGGGCATTCCGAATGGCCATAACATGACATTGTGGCGCAATGTTTCTTATTTTACCTTTGCGCTTAGCTATGAGCATGACTGACATTTAAATGCCACTTGCCATCCGTCAGTGCCGCTTTTAGTTCCGTAGCACGTGGGCATAGTTTTGTGCGGCAGAACTAATGTTGGAAACATTATATAAGTACTGAAATGACTTGTTGATAATGCCACCAATGTGTAGGTAAAGTTGAAAGTTTTTTGCCGTCCATTGACTGCTGATGCGACCAGACCATTGCTCAGAGTGCAATGCTTCGGTAAATAATAGGGAAGTGAGCCCCATCCTGGGCCCGTGCTATGTCAACTATAGGCAGTGTGGAAGTGTGTGGCAGTGTGGAGGTTAAATATATTGAGTGTGGTCGGCTTTACCAAGGGTGCATGCTATCCATTTCATCAGTGTTGCTCTGTAGTTTTGCTGTTGAATCGCCAGTTAGTTACCAGTGGAGTCGTCAAGCTACTTCCGCTGGCCTGGGGTACCAGTGGGCGATAACGTATGGCTTATGTGGACCCAGGTCAACCGGTCAGCGATTAAGACGTTGTACCAGGTCATGAGCAGCCCGCAATACGTTCACATATTGCTGAGACGGAAATAATTCGCTATAGACGTACAGTCCACAAGTCCGGAAATCATCAACTGAGGAGTTCACAACCCACGTAATAAATTCACAACGTGTCCAGCACTCAATCACCTACTCACCAAATGGAACTCAGTTCGATCTAATAACCGGGGACGCAATCACGACGCTAGTTAGTCCGAATCTCATGAACAAAACTCGAGCCATCGAAACTTGACTCGGCGACGGCCTGTTCCTGGAAGCCGACCGCTCCGTCATAATGCTGCATCCATAACGAGGCGCGCCTCATACGGCGAGTTGGCGCGGCTCGTAATCACTGTCATCTGTTGCTATTACACGGGCCCGGTGCAGAGGAGAGTCTGCCATCATGTGAGACGTCAATTAATTGGGACCGCGTCGCCGAGCGCCCCACGGGTAAACGAAGACAGATCGGGACTGGCAAAGGCGAGCGGCGGATCAATTAAACAGGCTCAGAGGCGAAAGGGCAACACATAGGTCAGCGACTTGGCATCGTTCATCGTGAGCCGTGAGGGAACAGTTACTTGGCCGTCATCAGATACCTTGATACGCCATCAGCCAGAAACCAGATCAAAGGAAACACAAAGTCGTGGGAGAGTCAGGGAGATACTGTAAAGCAATCCGTAGCCATTATACTATTTGAATATTTCAGAGAGGGATCACGCAATTTATCGGTTGATAGACAACAGGTAAGCCACTTGTCAGAGAGCATTGACAGCAGAGCAAACTTCATTCCGCTGATTTCAGTGCCTTCTTATGAATAACATCGCATTGCTACATCCGAAATTTCCGGCAGAGTCCACTCGAATTTGAAAGATTTCCGCGGATTATGGTACACGCCGTGCACATGCCGCCGAGGGGGAATAGCATGCTTCCCTCCCGGCATGGGTCTGGATTTCCGACGAGTTGGGGGTGCCCGAGCTCACCCATTCCACACTGGCTTGGCTTTGGAGCCACTGCAAACGGCGCGGGTCAAGGGCACCGCTAGGGCGACGACGGATTTGCTGCGCCCGGGCACCCAAAACTGAGCGGAAATCCACACCCATGCTTCCCGGTAATCAGTAGCCAGTACTCGGTAGTCGGTACTCACCTTGGCCGGGCAGGCGCGGCACCGGTACAGGGTGCTCCCCGTCAGGTCGTTCCTCTCCAGGCTCATGTGAAACTCCACCAAATGTTTCCGCACCTGAATCATCTCGTAGCTGATTGGCACTCCGCACGGTTTGCAGATTCGAGGCACTTCTTTGTACAGAGAATCGCTCTCTGAACTGTTCTCTAGAGCCACCTGGTGAGTGTCCGACGCACTTGACCTTTCCACAGCGGCCGCCTGCGACGCTGCCGACGAGTGCTCTCGGCCCTGTCGCTCCTGAGCAGTCTCCTGGCTCTGGTGGGTGCTATCGTGTTCCTGCGGCACTCCCTGATCCAAATATATGGTATAGTCCGCATCATAGCAGCCCATCTCACTGTGTGACACCGCGAATGTAGCCGAGTGTCTGTACTCACTCGGTGGCGGCGCTGCCTGCTCCGGCGGGGGCGGGGGCGGGGGCGGGGGCGGCTGCTCCGGCGGCACAGTCTGCAGCTGAGTGTACTCGCCCGCCGCCGCCATACCGGCCGTCTCAGCCTCCACCTGCGTACTGTACGGCGGCGCCGGGATGCTGCCGTCAGGGTTAAAGAACACCATCGGCTCGGGGTACCCGGCCGGGTCCCGGTGCCGTTCGTGCTGCTGATGATGTTCCTGCTGCTGATGATGCTGATGGTGGTGATGCTGCTGTTGATGATGCGACTGCTGCTGTGACGGCAGTGCCGCCGGCGGCGCTGGCCCGACGTCCAGCGCCCGGCGCTGACGACGCGAGTCTCTGGCGGTGGCCGCTAGGCGGCGCTGCGATCGCCGTGCGGGCTCCGCCGGCGCGCCGGCCACAGTCCGGGGGTGGTGGCTGTCGTCCTCCGGCCGCCTGGGCACGATCGCCTTGAAATTGGGGGTGGCCTGGACCGGAGCCGACACCGCCATTATCTGAAACGGAGCGAGGTTTAATTCAGGCCGCTACGAGTGATGAAGATCGCACTTACAGTGTCCCAAAATTATATTTTGGCTTCGGTGTCGGAGGGGGATATTCCTCACAGTAAAGCGGGCTGAGAGTGGAAAATTGCGAGCTTCATGAAAAAGGGTGAAAAACAGGGATCATCAATTTGCATGTGAGTGTTACAGGATGTGGGAACTGGGACTGGTTTTTACTAGAGGATTGAAGAAAATATGGAGCAAGTTAAAAGTCAACCACCAAAGGTTACATGCAGATGCTCGTTACTGGTAAAATTGGGAGTGAAAAATTGCTCTAGAAAATTGGAGGTGCGAGTGGAAAACCATTTTCATTTGGATGTCATTTCCCACCCAAACTGGCAAATTTTGGGACACTGTCGCACTACCACCTAGGCTGATCCACGATAATGGCTTTACCCGAATGGCTATTGGCCGGTACAATCTAAAAATAAACTGACCATATGCAGACAAATCCTAACAACTGAGAGCCTAGTCAAATCGGTATGATTATACACACAAAGTGGACGATGTTTTAATTCATTGCATGTAGTCCGTCCTCCACTTACATTTAGAACGATAGGCGGCGGCTGCGGTGGCAGATCTTTCCGATCAATCTTGGGAGCGATCTTCTTCAGTTTGGCTGGCGGCGGTCCCTCTAGGGCGGCGGGCGGTCGGGCGGCCAGCGGAGACCTCAGCACCAGCAGGTCACTGATGGAGTACTCCTCGAACGGGTCCAGCAGTCCGGCCGGGTCTGTGGCGTCGGCACCGGTCGCCGCCGGTCGCGGCGGGGTGGAGGGGGCGGCCGGGGCGGGCTGAGGAGGGTCTGACGGCTGGGTGAGAGCGGCGCGAGGCAGAGAGGACGGAGGCTGGTGGAGCTCAGAAGCAGACTGCGGCAGAGACAGGTGGAGCGGTGGTTCGGAGGGACGAAAAGACGGCGACTGCTGCTGCTGCGGAGACTCCTTCAGCTCATCAGGCTGGTGCAGGGATTGTGGCAGAAGTGCTGAAGGAACCGCCTTCTGATGCGCCTCGTCCATAGTCATATCTAAGGACTGTCCGCTCTCCACGACTGTCACAGTCTCGCCCACTACCGGTGGAGCATCATCGAGCAGGTTCTGCGTCTCGCCATCACCCACCGCGTCACAGCGCGTCACACTGGGCTGCGCCGCGCCTGTCTGACACTGTTCCGAGCCACCCACGACACACTCAGTGACCCTTTGGTCCGTCCGTGTCACCTGTTCACTGTCCGCACCCGACACTGGCCCGGAGGTGTCCTCACTCTCACCTACCGTCCCCGCTTCACCGGCTGTCTGCCGCCCCGGCTCTGTTCGAGTCACTGCATCCACCGTACGACCACTGCTCTCCAGCAGCTCGAGAAAGGGCGCCTCGCGGCTGAAAAAGTCCACACCGCGATACGCCTTCGGTACGAGTATTTTGGCGCCGCGCCGGCCGCTGTTTGTACAGACCACCATCCGGACAAACTGTCTCTGCAGGGCGGCCAGCCAGCCGCGCATCGTGTGCAGCGCCAGCAGGTGGCCGCGGCAGTCACCGCACATGACGTTCTCGTGCGGGTTGGTGCTGACGGAGAACTCCAGTCCGACCACGTCCTTCACCACGTCGGCCATGCTGACGAAGCTGGTGTCGTCGAACAGCGGCGCCAGCGGGTGTCCGGCGCCGGGCCGGCGGCCGCAGACGGCGCAGCAGGCGCTGACCGAGTACCGCGCCGGCAGCACGGCCGGCGGCCGACGCTCGTCGATCGTCAGCCGCTTGAAGCCGGCCCTCTGCCAGCAGCGGAGCGGCCCGCCGGCCTGGCGCAGCGCGACCTCCTCCTCGGAGTCGTCCAAGTCCGAGCAGAGACCCCAGTCCTCGTCGTCCTCCGGGGGACACGAGCGCATGGCGAGGACTGGGGAGTGGCGAGGGGGAGTGGAGCTGGGTGTGGCCACCAGCCAGTGACCAGCCAAACCTCAGGGCAGGAGGCAGATCAAGGCTTCCCTGTCCAACTCAACACTGATGTCTTTTGGCTGATACAGTATCAACTCGCCGAATCTGAAATAAAAAGCATGGTTAGCATTGTCCTGCAAAATGCTAGCTGACGTGCTTAAATTCAAGGTACTGTTCAGTTACCATCCATTTACTATTATCAGTCAGCACTGTAGCCCAATTTTGTCGAATATCAAAGCTACTAGCTGGCTTTCTTCAGCCTCTCATGGGTGAAGTGAGCCAGGATGGCTTTTATGCTGAGAAGCAGACCAGCACCATACCGATGGTGACAGAAACACCAAACTGCCCCTTACAATAACAGTGACAACTGTTAGGTACTAAACATGGTGACTACCACTAGGGCTCTTTTGACAAAAAGCCTCTCAATGCCTGCCTCTAGTTAAAAATAAATGGTATGTTTCTCAGATTCCAACAAATACCTTTAATCATTTAGCTTTTTACAATTTACACAGATCAGAAGTTGAAGTGTGACAATGTATGACACGCCTTCAAATCCAGTACCCAGTCCTACGTAATAGTAGGCATCCCCAGCCTGAGTTAATTGTTTGCCAACTTTAAATGGTAAGATGTTGTTGATATAAATGTTGGTAAGATGTTGTCAGATGACAGGAAATGTCAGATAATTGTATTACAGCACGTTGCATTGCTAATCGCATTCATATTCCTAAAATGAAAACGCTAGGGAGTAGGGACTAGAGATTAGGGAACCTTCATGTTTCTGGCCAAAACTTTACCTGGAGTTACAAGACAAGAGACTTAGAAAGTTTCTTTTAACTGAAGCTGTAAAAGGGGCTCTCCACTAGGCTCTAGCCAGTTACCATGGCACCCAAGTTGTAATCTGTATTTTCTCATTGCGGCTTTTTTTTTACTAAAAAATATCATACTTTAAGTCAGACATGGGCACGGATCCCAGACGACCAAACACGAAAATCAAGATGGCCACTAGATTAGTGGACTTTAAGCATGGAATTATGGTGGAAAACATGGCTAATAGATGCCTCTCAACGAACCAACTATTTTGCATTCCCTCAGAGTTCATAGTTTTGAGAAAACCCCTGAAGATCCATCTCGGATCCATGGCCACGAATCATGGATCCGAGAGGGATCTTGAGGGATTTTCTCAGAACTGTTAACCCTGAAGGAATGCAAAATAGTTGGTTCATTGAGAGGCTTCTATGAGCCATGTTTTCCACCATAATTTCATGCTTGAAGACCGTCAATCTAATGGCCATCTCAATTTCCGTGATTGGTTGTCTGGGATCCGTGCACATGTCTGCTTTAAGTTATGAGTAATCTCAAAATATAAATTCCGAAGCAATTTATCCAACTTTTACATGCATTTCCCAATTAAACTAGAATTGAAGTTGCGTCAATGGTGATGGGTAGCTAGCTCAAGCTATGCTCATGCTGATGGGAGGAATCCAAACTTCAACTTATATACTCATACTGTTATGACTGATGGGTTTACGCTTATATCGGTAATGAAGTGCTATATGAAATATTCTCTGGATATTTTCGTGAAAATGTTAAAACTAAAATAATCACAAATAAAGCTCACCCCATAATAAGAGCATTTGAAAATGAAAATTGGCTGCGCCACTATCGTAGTTTCTGCGTTTATTTACTTGATTTCAAGGTTGTGGTAAAACAGCTGTCCAAATCGTAAAACTCGTGGCGATTGCTGTGTTTTTCTTTTGCTACAACATGACAGTCTCGGACGTGCCCCGCAGAGCGCGCTGTCTGTCTCGTCTGCCTCGTCTGCCTAAGGTATGTAATTGGTAATAATAAGATTCTTAGGTCTTACTGTCGTATCAAAAAGGAAGTGTTTTTCGACGCTTGATAGAAAAATTATTCTCATGTTTTTATATATTTTCAAAACTTGAATTCTTATTCAGGTGGTGTGGTGCTCTGGGTGAACGTGCCGACTGTTGTTAGCCGGTCTTTTCCGTCGCAGTGAACTCATTGGCCATTGCAGCTCCATTCAACTTTATCTTTTGAAAAGCATTAGAATAATCGTGAGCAGGTGGGTACTTCGTGGGCTCTGAGGTCTGATGAGTCCCCAGTTTTACAACCGTAAGCCGTAGCCCTGTTTGCTGACGTCGGTATCACACCGTCGAGTGGTGACACCACACACACAACTACGCCCCTAGGCCTAAGCTCTGAAGTCAGCAGTCACCCAGTCACCCACTCACTATCAAGGCCACAGCATGTTCACCCCAGTCTTCGCTGCACGGTCCACCACAAACGCCGATTGCCGTGTTTGCATGTATTTGGTTACCAATCGATAGCACACATGTCACTTCACCTCGAAGCATAAATATACGACATGTATCCATGATAATGCTCGTCCCGGCGCACGGTATCTGTGCAGCCCTCCAACGGGCGCCACTTACATAAATGAGATGACCTGGTGAGGATGTCTTTGTACTAAAAATACTACAACAGTAGCTTGGCGTGTCTGTGTGTGTATGTGTTGTTATCATTAGCACCATTTTACCCAGAATGGCGCCGGTGGTGAAACACGCCTCTAAAATCAATGGAACATGGGATGAGAGTGCGGGAGGAGAGCGGCGCGCGCTCTGGGCGCCGCCCGCGCCGTCCCGGTCGCGACTAGCCTACACACCGATATATAGTGGCACAACCGCCGACACGACGGGCCGGCCGCTCCTCAGCCGGCGCCGGCCCTAAAACGGCACACAACGTGCCCTCAACTCATACGGCACGGGCCGCGTCCAGTCTTAAAACGACACTCGGCGTGCCCCGTATTAGCGCGACGCTCCCGGTGCCGCCGCCGCCGAAGGGGCCGCCGCCCGTGCAGGGTACATATGCACCGATCAAACACACATGGAACACAGCAGCGCCCTCGAAATGCGGCCTTGGTCCAGCTCCGACCAGGCGCGGGCGCACGGGAACAGCGGCGCGGGGCACGGGCGGCGGCCGGCGCGGCGCGGACCGGGCGCCAACCATAGTTTACAAAAGTGTCCTCTAGGGGCGCTGGCGCATCACAGGCCGTGCACGGACGGCGCCGACTCGGTCTCCGAGCCCCGGTCGTCCGAGGGCGTGGCGAGGCTGGAGCTGACCGAGTGCGGCGGTTTGAGCACCCGCAGGTCGAGCGCGGCGTCGGCGCGGGACTGCGGCGTCACGCCGGCCGCCGGACTGGCGGCCCGGCTGCCCGCGCGACCCGACGGCAGGTGCGGCTCCTGGTGACGCCGCATGTGCTTCCTGCAACGGAGAGAGCACGGTCGTTAGAACACTGTCACACGAGGGCTGCCTCACAGCAGCAGCATCTACTTCACCAGTTTTGTACGTGATTTTTACAGTTTACCAAACCTGCTCACCGATCAGCTCAGTAATCAAGAAACTAACGAGCTCATAGCCGGCCGAGAAGTGCGCACTCCCGCCTAGCACAGCACTCGTCCAATGCCTCTGCCAGCCACCAGTCGCGAAACCCAGCTCGACCACGCACAATATCGACTCGGCCCCAGATCCGGGCGAGTCGTTCCCAGAACAGACGCAGTAGGAATCGACCCGACCTGCCCGGCCGACCGACCGCCCGTCGGCCTACCTGCTCTCTCAGACTCGTACAACAGGGGCCCGGCGGTCCCTCGGCAACAGGTGGGCCATCGACCCGCGGGAGCCAGCGCGTGCGTGTGCGTCGGGAGGCCGGGAGGGCGGCCGGGAAGAGGGTGAATCTCAAAGGTCAAGATTTGGAACTGCTAAGACCCTGACAAACCGGACGTGACGGACGGGACCGGACGGACGTGGTAAACGGGAGGATGCAGTGCAGCAAGGCGGGCAAGCTATTATAGCAGAGGAAAATAAAGAGTATGTGTACTTACGTCAAGTGATCGCTGCGCATGAACCGCTTGTCGCAGACGGCGCAGACAAAGTTCTTCTCGCCGGTGTGTGTGCGCGTGTGCCGCACCAGCTCGTCGGAGCGCGCAAACCGCTTCACGCAGCCCTTCCAGTCGCACCCGAACGGCTTCTCGCCTGAGAACGAAATAAGATCAGGGTCAGCTGAGATCGAGCACTGAGACCATAAAATATGACGGAGCACGGACGCACGACATGAGGACGCACGCACCGCTGTTGGCGAGGTCAAGGTCAGGGAGGCAGAAATGCAGACGCACGAACATGGGCATTGGACACGCTTACAAGCCAGTTGAGTGTGGGGTATGTCAGTTGTATGGATTATTGCTGCGGTCGTGGCCGTTAGACTGGCCTTTAAAGGTAGTGTGCCACCTTTGAAAGATTTCCCGTTTTATTTTTCCTAGGATAAGAAGATTCTGTTTTTACCTAATATCGCAAAAAAAATCAAAAATGGGCCTGGAATAGTGCCTTTTTCGCCTAAAAGTTTATCGGTTTTTAGATATGTATAACAACTGTAGTGGGCTCACCTGCAAACAGGCGTCGGGCAACAATCGCGAATGCGGCGCACTTGTGACAATAAGCAAAGGTCATTATAGTGTTACGACCATACGACGTACGGGAATGAGTTATCAGCTGTCTAATCGTAGACAACACAATGTCGAGCCTTAAACTGTAAGCCTGTATTGGTATTGTTTCTTAAATTTGGCTGTCGAACATTAATTTGTGGTTTGAAATATGATTTTATGTAAAATAATTGATATGAAACAGCCGTCTCTTAAGTTATGACCCCATTACACCACACGCAAGTGGCAGAAATGACAATGATCAGCTGACGCATTTTTCTTCGCCGAAGTCAGAGCGCGCGGCCCGACGCACCACGCGTATTTGGAAATTCCGACCTCGACGAGCATCAGAAGCCACCTAACAGGCGTGTTCGAAACCGCAGGAGATGATGATGAACGGGTTTATCGAAACTTGATTGGATGAGCCTATCGGTAATAGCGATTTTAGTGTGTGCATTTATTGTTCATAGTGGTGTGAAATGTGGTTGGGGTACGACCGACAACCCGTCGGGGCGAATTTCGCACTGGGGTACTCAAAATTTGAAGAATTTAAGACGTTTCCATAAGTTTTGAAGGTATGGATAAGTTCTAAAAATCCGGTTCTCCTTATCCGGGTCATTAACTCCATATGGTCCAAGAAAGCTGGCACACTACCTTTAAACCGCTGGCCACCGATCGGTTTCATGTTCGCCATCGATAAACTGATTGATCGCAAAACCGGTCAGTGTAAGCGGTGGCCCCACGCAAACTGGAAATGCGAATCATACCCGATCACCACAACCGCTTGCCCGCGTTGTGAGCTGAATTGCACCACTGCGCCTTTATCCGCCCCGCCTAGCGCTCCCAAACGACAATCACAGTTCCGGGGACCCCCCCCCCCCCCCCTCCCACGGCCAGGAGCGGACACGTCAGCGCCAGTTCCAGGAACCGAGCCGGCCGGCCGCGACCGTCAACACAGCGCGGCCCGGCCCCGATCGACCGGAGGCGCGTCACAAGTGTCGCAACAGAGCGGAGGTGCCACAGGCTGCCCATGGGCCGGCCAGGCGCGTCCACCGGCCGGCCCACACCTGGCGACGCCTGGCAACCGTCATCACAACCGTCATCACAACCGTCATCACAACCGCTTTCGGCCATTCATTGTGATCCGGGGTGCGCGGAAACGTTTGATCGACGGTGTAAACATGGGCCGGGTACAGCCTGAGCGGCGCCACTGATGGCTGTTAGGGGACCACGACCGTCATCAGCCGGGCGCGACAGGCGAAAATAAGCATTTGATAAACGAGAAAGAAACCTACAGGTCCGCAGATGCTTTGAACAGCATGTAGAGGGGCATTCGGGACATCGCTTCATAAGCACAGCTAAAACCTGAGGGTTGAGGATATGTCGTGCAGTCAGCGGGGCGTTTTATATATGTAGCGAGAGATGTATTGTTTATGCTCAATATACTCTCAGAATTCACACACATAAATCACTGGCCAGTCCTTGCGCAGTGAACTGAGAGCTGGCTGGTCGCTCAACCCGTCCAAACGAGTCTTTGTTCGCGGCCCTGGCCAGCTTTGTCACCGGGTGAGCTTTGTTCCGACACGAGCGGCTTAGCTCCGTTTTGCCGCCTTCCCGACGAGTGGTGACACGTCACCGAGTCCGGACCGGAACGTGCACGGACCACGGACCACGGACCGTGGACCACGGACCGCGGACCACGGACCACGGACCACGGACCACGGACCGCGGACCGCCGGCGGCGGGCACTGACCGGTGACGGCACGCCAGCCGGGAGTGTCGGACAGGAGTGCCCGCCACAGGGAGTGCCCGCGGCGCGACAGGGAGTGCCAGCCGGCCCGGGACTTGCTCAAATCCGCCGGAACCACTATCACAAAACAAACCTGCCCTGCAATGCCATCACAATCATAACACTGCGGAGGTGGCGGCCGCGGTGAGCCTGGCCCTGCCGTGCCGTCAGCGGCTAACATGGCGGCGTCATTGATTTCCGTCCCATGTCGGGCGTCATCCGGGGGCGTGCCGCTGAGAGCGGCTCTCCCTCTCCCTCTCCCTCTCCGTGCCGTCTCCCTCACACGGCAGGACGGATCGACCGGTCGGAGAGCCACGGGGACGGCGCGAGAGAACACAGAGCGAATGAGAAGTGGAGCCCGTTTGAAATGAAAAAAAAAAAGAACAGACAGGAGACCGCCCGTCGGGAAATGACGCAGAACGATTCAGCAGCGTGCCGCCGCCGGGTCTCAGCACACACCGCAGTCAATGTCGCAACGAGAAACGTGCCGACAGAAATCGGAGCTCCTGCGCGGCCGGCCGCGAGAACGATCACGCCATTGAGCCTGCCGGGACGCAGCTCTCAGCCACTAATGAAGCTGCGGGCGCTGCGGGAAATTCAGCAGCTTCCGCCACCGATCACCGGAGCTCCTCACCACGCTCCGCGGCGCGCGGGCATCCGGGAGCACTGGGGAGGGGACGCGGGGCGCTGAGGGTCGCCTCTGTGCCGTCGGCGGACGGCGTGGGCCGACGCACGGCGCCTACGCAGTGGCGGCGGCGACACGCACCGGCCGGCCACGTGTGACCCGGCCGGGAGCCGATCGACCGTCGGCGGCCGCCGGCGGTGGACGTTCACCGCGCGCCGCAGCACGTGGTCGTCGGTGGCCGGACGGGGGCGGGGCGCGGCGCGGGCAGGTGGGCGGCGGCGGCGGCGGCGGTGCCTCCGGCTGCACCTGCCGGCGGGCGGCGGCGGCGGCAGCTGGCGGCCCGTGCGGTCAACACCTGCCGCCGCCGCCGTCCGCCTCCCAGGAACGGGCCGCGGGCCGGCGCGCTCTGAAACCTGCCCCGGCCCGAGCTGGAGGGACGGAGGGACGGGAGAAGGGAGCAGTAGGAGCACCTGCGTGCCGCCGCAGCAGCCGTCACCGCCCGACCACCCGACCGCGCGGCCGCCGGGGGAGGGGCGGACGGACGAGCGGGCGGTGAGAGGACCCACAGGCAGGGCGGGGGCGGCACCCCACGCGCCGCCACAGAGATCCGGTCTGTATGTGCGTCAGCAAACAGTTACCTCAGCACGCGGCGGCCACAGATGCGCAGCGGGCCACATCGACGGCGCAGTGCCGGCCCGTCGCCGGTATCGGCGCTATCTATCCCCGCAGGACGGTGCGCCGCAGCTGGCACCCATCACGCGGCTCCGTCCCACCCACAGAGACGTCGACACTGCGCCATCCAGACACGCCGCTAGTGCGTCCTTCACAGACCCAGCCCGAACGCAACGTCCGCGATCGATAGGTGGCAGACAAAGCACCCGAAATCACCTATCAATATTTAGAGCCGCGTCCGTGTCATGTCCGACAAAGGCAGCCGGCGCCAAACGGACAAAGACGCCTCACGTGCGCCCGGCGGGCTTCCTGTGTCAAAACACCGGTGACTGTCGGCAGCCGGCGGCCTTTGTGATCAGACTCGCTGAGTGTCCTGTCAAGGCCGGCGACAGCTTCGGGTACAGTTCAGACGGATGGATAGGTCACCGAGAGGTCGCATTGCTGTAGGTCAGACCGAGAGGCCGTCCCGTGCCGATTATCGTCGAACGTGGTGCGATGGTTTTTTCGTCGCCGGCGGCAGCTGGGCAGCCATCAGGCGGCGTGAGAGTGACGGCCTGTCCTGGCTCACCCCGGCCGGACACGGCACGGCACAAAAACGAACGCGGGAGTGGCCGAAAAACGAACACGGGAGCGGCGGAAAAACGGTCGCTGATCTGGAGCAGGCTCATCGACCGCCGGCCGCGCCCTGCCCTCACCGCCGCAGCTGCCGGCGCGACCGGGGCGGGGCGGCGCCGGAGGTAGGGCTATCGCTGCCTACCGTCCACCGTCCACCGCCCGCCGCCTCCAGCGTAACGGCAGCGTCACCGTCCGACAGGCGAGGATAACGGACAGACGAGCGGACAGCGGCCGACGGCCCGGCCACCGCCGCACCGGTGCATTTCCCGGCCGCACCTAACCGAACCGGGACGGACGGATGGAGGGACGGGCCGCCGCGCCGCGCGGAGTTGCATCACCTCCAGCAGCGGCGCAGCGATCCGCAGCGGACTCCGCACGACAGCCGCCCACGGAGACCCAACCATCTGCCGACCGGCCGCGAGCGCGCCACAGCGCCGGCCGGCGAGAGGCGCCGCTTTCAAACCGAGCGCGCCCGCCGCTGCCGGAAAGAAAGCGCCGCCTGCACGGCCGGCGGCACGGCGCTGACCCGGACCAGAGAGCGGCCGGACGTGGCGCCAGGCCGGCCCCGTGCCGCAGCCACGCCCTCGGCTTCGGGCAGCGACCCAGCCCGGCACGCCCATGGAGCTATAAGAGAGAGGCCGGAGGAAGCCAAGATGAGCCCGTACGATGGCTCTCTCCCGTGGTAGTAAAAGCGCCGCCGCGCCGGCCGCTGTCGACTCGGCTCGTTCCCGCCGTTTCTGGTCGTTTCCCGCCATTTGGTCGTCACGGCGCGCCGGAGGTCGGCCAGCGGGTCGCCCGGCGGCCCCGCCCCCCACGCCGGCAGCGGGGGACCTTGGGCGGCCGGGCCAGGTTAGCG